CATTACTGTACCGGAGTGAGAGGAAAAATGTCCATAACAATTGTAAAATGGCTTTGTGACTCTCGGCCTGTGAAAGAAGCTACATAAATACATATTACTCACTTACCTACATTATTTTCGTTGTTGTGGTGTGAAAAAATTAGGTACCACAGCTTTAATGTAAGCGCACTCTTGAAATCTTTAGTGTGTGTTGATTGGATGAGAGGGGAGTGGACTAGTGTGTGCAATGTGTGAGTATATGATGGTATATGTTAAAACAGGTGCAAGTTTGAAATACAGAAATGCTAAAGTTGCTCAAATTTGCCAAAAATGTATCTTAATTTGGGGACAATTTTTCTTGTATTTGATTTTCCAAGATGTAGGAGCACAAAAAACACAAATGGTTAGTTTTTTTTGAATCCTTTGTTTTTGAATTAGATGCCTTTACCGCATGATTGAGATGCAGTTTGATAGTTAAGGCGCCTAAAACCAGGTGATAGAGATGCCCCAATGAGGTAGGTTTCAGTTTCAGGCTTAAAATCGACTCAAAAACTGATCCACCAAATGGTTGAAGAAACAATTACAAAGTTCAGACAGTCAGAATGTACTCGAATTACTTCCTGGTGGATCATCAAGACTATTGGTCCTCTCAACTGTCAGTCATTCTAGTGATACGTGCTCATCAAATAAGACCAGAGAGGGCTGTTCTTTCCTAAAATTTGGGAAAATCCTCCCAAGCCGAGGCAAGGCAAGTTTTTTTGTATTGCAGAATTCATACACAAGGCAACTCAAAGTGCTGAACAAAACAAGATAGCACTAAAATCATAAATAATCACAGTACATTAAAAGAAAGATTGATATACCTTTAAGATGCAAAATTATTATTACCTCATATTTTGTAATTTCTTGCATTTTATTTACAGCTATAAAAATGAAGAGAAAATCAGCCTGAGAATATGTCCCTGATAAGACAGATTTCAAACTGGCTGCGATGACACGGAGACTTTAAGAGAACCACATCAGTCGCACAAACCTGCTCTTTAGACACAGTCATGGTTCCAGATCTGTCATCACCGCTTTGAAGTCCCTCCATCAGAGAGACATCTGAAATTCCACAAATCATATCAAACGCTTGTGTTTCTACCGTAGGGCGAGACGGTTGGGAATAGAGACGTTAAAGTTACGATTATTGTGGGAAAAGCCAACCACTGCCTGAACTTGCATAGTGTTTTTCTCTTTATGATCGAAATTCATTACAATCAAACTTGTGTGGCCGACAAATCTATGTATTAGGGCTGGGCGATATAAACGGTATAAGCGGTATGCAATAGATTGGCCACAGATAGAGATTTTTGTTATACCGGCATATTGCGATAGGTTATTATGTCATCAAATTGCAACAACCGGCAACAACCACGAGGAGAGTGGCTGCTGGATTCGTCCCGGAAACCGGATTTGTCCAGAAGTTCAGTTTGCGCATGTCAAAAGTGTAAATAAACATGTAAACAGTTTGTGTTGTTATATACAGATTATTTTATGGATTTGTGCTCATATGTATCAAGGTTTATTACGAGAAATGGCGGAAAAAAGCTCAGAGAAAAAAATACTTAGTAGCCGCGCAGCTAGCGCCCAGATGTGTTCCAAGGCACACAGAAATGAGGCAAACACATAGACAGTTTAATTCTTGATAGGATTCACTGTCCTTTACTTGTTTAACTAATAAATAAATGTGTTCAACGAGACTTGACTATGTACGTATGTATGAATGTGCGATAACGGGATGAATTATTACAATTGTTTATTGCAACTATTGAACTTACAAATGTGTGGTTTTATAGCACCCTCTAGGTCACACACTAAATGTCAAAGAAATGCTAAAAGTATCAAATAAATAAACATTATCCTGCTCTAAAATTTTAGTTTTAAATAAGCAACAATAATTAACACCTATATTGAAATTCACTCACCAAATTATACCGCAATATGACTTTTAGGCCATATCGCCCACCCCTACTATGTACAGTATCTATCTATGTATCTATCTATGTACAGTAATTATATGTATGTATCTATCTATGTACAGTAGTTATTATGTATCTACATAAATACAGTTCCTTGCGAAAGTATTCGGCCCCCTTGAACCTTTCAACATTTCGCCACATTTCAGGCTTCAAACATAAAGATATAAAAAATATTTTTTTTGTCAAGAATCAACAAGTGGGACACAATCGTGAAGTGGAACAAAATGTATTGGATAATTTAAACTTTTTCAACAAATAAACTGAAAAGTGGGGCGTGCAATATTATTCGGTCCCCTTGCGCTAATACTTTGTAGCGCCACCTTTTGCTGCAATTACAGCTGCAAGTCGCTTGGAGTATGTCTATCAGTTTTGCACATCGAGAGACTGGAATTCTTTCCCATTCTTCCTTGCAAAACAGCTCGAGCTCAGTGAGGTTGGATGGAGAGCGTTTGTGAACAGCAGTCTTCAGCTCTTTCCACAGATTCTCGATTGGATTCAGGTCTGGACTTTGACTTGGCCATTCTAACACCTGGATACGTCTATTTGTGAACCATTCCATTGTAGATTTGGCTTTATGTTTTGGATCATTGTCCTGTTGGAAGATAAATCTCCGTCCCAGTCTCAGGTCTTTTGCAGACTCCAACAGGTTTTCTTCCAGAATGGTCCTGTATTTGGCTCCATCCATCTCCCCATCAATTTTAGCCATCTTCCCTGTCCCTGCTGAAGAAAAGCAGGCCCAAAGCATGATGCTGCCACCACCATGTTTGACAGTGGGGATGGTGTGTTCAGGGTGATGAGCTGTGTTGCTTTTACGCCAAACATATCGTTTTGTATTGTGGTCAAAAAGTTCGATTTTGGTTTCATCTGACCAGAGCACCTTCTTCCACATGTTTGGTGTGTCTCCCAGGTGGCTTGTGGCAAACTTTAAACGAGACTTTTTATGGATATCTTTTAGAAATGGCTTTCTTCTTGCCACTCTTCCATAAAGGCCAGATTTGTGCGGTGCACGACTGATTGTTGTCTTATGGACAGACTCTCCCACCTCAGCTGTAGTTATCTGCAGTTCATCCAGAGTGATCCTAGGCCTCTTGGCTGCATCTCTGATCAGTCTTCTCCTTGTTTGAGATGAAAGTTTGGAGGGACGGCCGGGTCTTGGTAGATTTGCAGTGGTCTGATACTCCTTCCATTTCAATATAATTGCTTGCACAGTGCTCCTTGAGATGTTTAAAGCTTGGGAAATCTTTTTGTATCCAAATCCGGCTTTAAACTTCTCCACAACAGTATCTCGGACCTGCCTGGTGTGTTCCTTTGTCTTCATGGTTCTCTCTGCGCTTTAAACAGAACCCTGAGACTATCAAAGAGCAGGTGCATTTATACGGAGACTTGATTACACACAGGTGCATTCTATTTATCATCATCAGTCATTTAGGACAACATTGGATCATTCAAAGATCCTCACTGAACTTCTGGAGTGAGTTTGCTGCACTGAAAGTAAAGGGGCCGATTAATATTGCACGCCCCACTTTTCAGTTTTTTATTTGTTAAAAAAGTTTAAATTATCCAATACATTTCGTTCCACTTCACGATTGTGTCCCACTTGTTGTTGATTCATGACAAAAAATTTAAATTTTATATCTTTGTTTGAAGCCTGAAATGTGGCGAAATGTTGAAAGGTATCTAAATACATGTTAATACAATAAGGATAACCCAAAATGCAGGACTTCAAAAATCAAAACAATTGAATTAAAGAAGGTCCTGGATTCAATTCCACCTCCAGGCCTTTCTGTGTGGAGTTTGCATGTTCTCCCTGTGTCTGTGTAGGTTTTTCTCTGGGCGCTCCGATTTCCCCTACCACCTAAAACGTGTACAATAGTCTCCTGTAACACTGAACCTCACTCCCGCCTTCTCACTGGGGCCAGGACTCCCCTGAAAAAGAGATTCAGAAATCTCAGTGGGACTTTCCTAGTTCAATAATGTTTAAAAATCTGGATGTATGAATCTGGATGTATGAATCTTCCGGAATAAGATTTGTCTTCTCTCTCGTCCAAACCAACAGAACCCCTGCTGTGAGAATCCCTGCCTTATGTTTAAACAGAGTGAGTTCATATCCGTTAGTCATGTACAGTTCTCATGTCGTTTTTTATTCCCATGACAACACGGTCGCTGGTCCGTGCTCTGTGGCTGTGTGTGAGTAATGCCATAAACGCAATTATTTACACTGAAGCCGAGCGTGTTAGTCATCCTCGCTCTTACAGACATCTGGAACTGTGGCTCACGGCTCTGGGAAGTCTCCTCTCTCCTGGGGACACGCAGCAGCAGCAGCACAATCACTCCGACCCCGCAGTTCGGTGACTCAGGACGGATGGAAAGGAGAGATTTGTAACTTCAAACGCTGCGTCTCTATAGTGCATTGTCACTAGCAGTAATGTATGTAGTAATGTATGAAAAAAAGTAAGATTGAAAACTATAATAAAGATACTCAGAAGAATGGAAATGACATCTGGAGAGCAGCAAAATCTCTTCTTTGAGCTTCGTTGTGGCAATTGTTGAGAGTGTCTTGACTCTGTGCTCTGGGCTATAGCTTTAGCTTGACGTGTGCTCTTGAAAAAACAATCAGTTTGAATGTCCAGACTTGCGGGATAACGGAGAAATGTGGTTTTAACGGAGGCACTGGTTTCATGGTTCTAAACTAACAGTTTCAATTCCACATCCAATGCTGTTTTCCACAAAATGGCACAGTCAAGAAACTGTTGGGCCTAAACCCAGGTCAGCTTCCACATTACACTCACTGGTTCCCCCTACTGTCATTCAAAGGAACTGCACTTTACCTGGCCCTACCCAAACACACACAAAATAAAGCATAGGTGCCTACCGAAACAAAATGATTAACTTAGAATTAGCATTCTCTTAATGGGAAATAAAACAACCTTTACAATCTTATTAAGTATATTTATATTATTAGTGTATGCTGACCAACCATTGTTTTTTGATGTTTTACAGATATCATGGCTGAAGGAAGCTGCTTCGGTGCGTTGTAAGCTAACATTCAAGTTCAGTGGAACCAGCAGGACGGCCACCTCAGCTCCTGGACCCGGCTCTCTCTTCACAGACACAGCAGCTCTTTGGTTTTAGTTTGAACCGCTCTCTTGAAGCTCTCTCCTTGGACCCTCCTTGGACACTACATCAGATTCAGTTTTTTTGCCATTTGCAGTAAAACCACGCTGGAATACATGTGCCAAAGTCGCAAATGTGCACCAGACAAGTACATAAATAAAACAAGCTAAAGAAAAGTATACTTAACGCTAAAGTGTACTTGGACACTACTTGGACTAGCATACTTTGCTTAGACCCTCCTTGGACCCTCCTTGGACCCTCCTTGGACCCTCCTCAGACCCTCCCTACGTCTCTGCACCATGTGTCATGTGATCGTGACGTGCCGCTCTCTGCTCTGGACCCTCCTCAGCATCATCGTGGCCTTCGCAGAGCTGGTGGCCTTCATGAGTCCGGACTGGCTCTTGGGCTTCCCTCGCTCGGACCCGGGGGTGAGCGGGGAGGGGGTGGACTCGGGGCAGTACCGACCGTCTCTGGGTCTGTACAGCCGCTGCCTCCGCATCAGCACGCAGGGGGTGGGGGTCATCTGTGGGCCGTACGCCGCCTCGTTCGGGGAGGTGGCCAGCGGGTTCTGGCAGGCGGCCATGTTGTTCCTCTCGGCCGGGACCCTGGTGCTCGGCTGCGTGGCCTGTGTCTCCATCTTCACCCTGTGCTTCCAGAGCATCTTCCGGAAAAGCATCTTTAACATCTGCGGACTCCTGCAGGCCATCGGAGGTGAGAATGATACATATATCCATCATTTACAGTATTTAACGTTATTCATACAGGGAGGAGTCATGAGAGTTCTATAACCAATCTAAAAACGACATATTTTTCACAAAGGAGTCACCGATAGAAATTCTCGTTTTATTCCTTGTTTTGTCATTAAAGGTGCAGTAAGCGATGTTGTTAGCTTAGCCGTAGCACCAACTCCAAACCACTTCCCCCATTTTCTTTTCTTTGTCACAACAGGGAGAGTGGGCGGCAAACGTGAAATTTGCATTTTCTGTTTAGCCATTTTAGGTTTTAGAAAATCCAATAACTCATGCGCATTTGCGAGAAACAGGAAGAGGGTGAAGGGGGTAAACACATCCCATTGGTTCGTTGGAGATGAACAAATCCCATTGGTTTATTTTTATCGGTCCGCTCCAAAATATTTTTTATTAATTTTTGGAGACTATAGGCATCTGGTCATTACTATTTGAAAACACATGATAATTTGATACTTTTAGGGTTTAGGAACGTTTCCCACAATATTTTTGAAAATGTGTCTGGAAGAAATAACTGACTGCATCTTTAATGATTTGAGAATCAAAACAAGGCCTTTTTTAGTTCTGCAGCCTGACATTTTAGTGAGATTAGCTCGATGCTGTCAGTTCTGGCAAGCCGGATCGCAGACTTTCTGATTGGTAAAACAGTGGAGGGCGGAATAACAAGATTTAGGGGCTGTAAAACTAATTTTGAAATCTCGGCTGAACTACTGTTATCAGGTAAATAAGTATTGGAAAAGAGCATGGTTTATTAACGCCGTTTGACACATTAGGGCCATTTGATGATGACTGATGGCATAAAAATCTTACATATTACAAAACAATACAGAAAATAAACCCAAACCAGGACAGTAGGTGTAGTGTTTTTGACTTCTTGTATGTACTATATCTGAACACATCTACCTCCAACCTGCAAAACACAAGCTCCACTCACGGCTGAAGAATGCGATCTCTGCAGAAGACAAACACAACAAACTGATGGAACCTGTTTATACAAGTGCAGTGACATCACAACGTCCTCAGGGAAAGTCTGCTCACTGGCTCTATATCTCACAGCTGTTTTATCACTGTGATCAAGTGACGTTTTTACTACTCCAGCAGAATAAATGTCTTTCGGATATGAATGTTTCGGACGTTGAGTCATGCGGCCGCCAGCTGCACTTTGGCCACGCTGAGAAGAGTTTGAGTTTCTGCTTTTTAAGTGTCATGTACAAAAGTTTCCAGTCCACATGGGGTTGTGTGCCACTGACGCAACAAGTTGTGATGGCTACAGACCAGACACAAACATGAATAAACAATCATTTACAGTAAAATCTCTCAGAGGATACAGAATCGGTCGTCTCTTCTCCCAGGCTTAAACAACAATAGAAGCAAAGGCAAAAACTGAATTGTGATGCATTTGATTCATATTTTCACTCACTTTCGGTTGATACTCACAAAAAAGTGGTCAATCCGAAACAAAATGTGTATAACGTTATGGATGTGTGTCTGTGCTGTCTGTGAGGCTGGATCTCTGCTTCTTCCTGGTTCTCCCCAAGCCTTCCATTTTTCCCCATTGCTTTTGTTGTTGTTTTTATTCTGCCTATACGCGTTTGTGACATTAATTCCAAGGTTATTTTTTGGGCCTCAATATGTTCCGTACCGTAAATGTAATTCATATTTTATTTTAAAATGTATTAGGCCTCCTGTACCTGCATATGAGTCCTTAATAAAATCTAAATATTAAATAATAATAATAAAGAGAATTGCCTCCTCTCCCCCAGGGCTGCTGCTGATGGTGGGGCTCATGCTGTACCCCGCTGGATGGGGCTCAGACAAAGTGAAGGGCTACTGCGGCACCGAGGCTCTGCCCTTCAGACCCGCCGGCTGCTCTCTGGGCTGGGCCTTCTACGCCGCCATCGGGGGAACTCTGGCCACGTTCCTCTGCGCCGTGCTGTCGGCTCAGGCTGAGATCGCCACCTCCAGCGACAAAGTGCAGGAGGAGATCGAGGAGGGGAAGAGACTCATCTGTCTGCTCTGAGCCTCCGACTGCTCTCCAAGGACTTTGTTTTATGAGCTGGTACTAGTGGACAATAGTAGATTTTTATATGTGAGTTTTATATCAAACTGACACTTGAGCAAAAATCTGGAATAATATAAAGGCAAAAGTGTCATTAACAATAGTAATAAAGTAATTAAGTCTGAATTTTGTTTGCCAGCAGAAAGGGCATAAACACATGGCTTTGTGAATCTAATCCTTGTCAAATAATGTTTTTTCTTTCTCAAAATGTCTTTCAAAAATTGCTTCTTTCCCACACAGATGCATCGGTACTCTCCTAAAACATAAAACACACAAAACAATTCAACAACAAGAACCCAACTTATACTTGGAAAGATACGCAGGCCCCCTGGATTCACGCAAGACACACACCATTCAGTTTAAACAACAAAGTTATAGGTGACATCTGTTGATATCACATTGTGGACATATAGGCTTTGGCCCTTGCCTTGTTGCTATGGTAACAATGTCATACCAGCTGTCCATACACTTAGAATAGCTGCCAACGTCCAACCGTGATTAATTTGACCATAATCTGCAAACAAGCACAAGTGAATCTACAGTATCTATGTGTTTTAAGCCGTCGTATGCACTTTGTCGAGTAGAATTGGTAGTTTTAAAGATTAACTTGATTTTGCTTTTAACTGAGAGGCCGAAGCTCAGAGCTGGCATCGCTTTTTCTCCATGAACTAACTTTGATTTTTTTACATTAACTTTTGCCAATTACTCAGAAAAACTCTCACTGATGCACTTGGTGTTTGTAAATATGTTTGATGTGTGACGCTTATGGTGCAATAGTTCTGTGTTAAGCTGTGAAGAGAAACATGTTAGAGATGACGCACCGATCACAGCTGCGGTTTGACGATGTGTAACGTTTGTAAATGTCCAAATAAAGCACATGGTTGGATTTGTCAACTTTTCTCCTGTTTGTTTGTTTTGATCTATTACCTGCGGGTTCATGTGGGCCTCATCTTGTGTCCCATGTTTCAAATTACCAACAAAAAAAAACATTTTAAAGCATGGTATATTTTTTCCCAAAAGCTTAATCTCCACGTATGCTCAAATGTGTCCATGATTAAAGTATTCCCAATAATTATCAAAACATTTTGAAAATGTAAAACTTGATTGAACTGATCAACCAGAACATTTGAATATTGTGCTTTTTTTTACAACCACAAAGATTACAGACCACAGCAAAGTAACATAACTGAAGTGAGCGCGAAATTATACAAGATATCATGTTATATAGTAATAATAATAATGTATTAGTTTTAAATAGCACTTTTTGGACACTTAAAGACACTTCACGTTTCATTATTCTTTCAGTTCATACACGGTGGTGATAAACTTTCAGCAGACTCACAGCTGCCCTGGGGCACACTGACAGAAGCGAGGCAACCAGTATGTGCCATCGGCCCCTCCGACCACCACCAACCATTCACACACCAGACTCATTCTAGGCAATGTCAGTGAAGTGTCTTGCCTAAGGAGACCAGAACACTTTGGCACTTTAAAGCCACAGCCGCCCCACCAGAAGCAACAAAAAACAAAAAAAAACATCCAAACCAACTTGTTTCAAATTTTTATTCATGTTAATACCATAAATATACAAAACGCAAAACTATTTCACATGCGACAAAGGCCAGACAGTGTGTTGCTCTTTTTACATACGGTTGATTGTTGTGGATCAAATTCTTAAAAGTTTACAAAATATACAGGCGTCCCTTTAAGACAGACAACTCTCACTCGGTGAACAAAGATTTACAGAAAACGAAAAAGAAACGAAAAACAAAACGCTTTCACTTATTCGTCGGGGCAAATCTGAGCCAATGTTTTTAAATATATATATGTATTTATATACGTGTGACCATAAGGGAGCGTAAATGACGAGGAGTGACCCAAAGGAATTAGAATTGGACTAAAGTAAGAAGCAGGACACAGGAAAAGCAAAAATATGGACATTTGGTAGATTTCTCACAGCTTTTTAAGAACACGGAATTACACTTGAGGGATATAGTCTCGTCACATTCATTCCCAACACTTTCTCTCTCTCGGCTACTCATCATTGGCCACTGACTTCTGCTATGAAAATCACAGACAAGACTGTAAAAAAAGGTAAAATTAAAACATAAATATAAAACTAAATTGCACTAAAATCGACAAATAGTGTTTTTTTTGTACAGAAATCGCAACAAAGAAATGCTATGATAATTTTTAGCGCATAATGTAACACGGAAACTTCCAGAAGCAACTTTTTTTCTCCACATAATTAGAGCAACAGCAGCGATACTTAGTCAGTTCTCGACACGGGATTCACCATTGACACTAACTCGGGTACTAGGGCAAAAAACGCACGAAAATGCCACAGACCGTCGAAATTTAAAGTGGCAGCGCTCTGTATAAAAAACACAAAACACGTCATGAATGGAGTCCTTGAAATGTTTCGAGCTGGCAACCGGGGCTCCAATACCGACGGCGGTTGACGAAAGCGGTTCTGCGTCGTCGACCGGAGAACGCTGTGGCACACTACAGTTAATACTGATTTGAATTGACATCTGGAATAAGCATTGTTGTAATACTAAATAGAAAAAGGTACGATTTTTGGCCATTAGAACGCACTTAATGTGGAGGGTTTGGTCGCACAATCACGCCAACGTCCACTGTGTCAATCCACCGTTTTTTTAATACAGGGTAGCTCCATGTTTTGGCGACGTCAAATTCAAGACCTTTGCGAGACTTCAAATTTTTTAGGGTTAAGTCAATGCTAGCAAGGCTGGTATAAAAGCCACAAACGCACACTTTGCGATAGCTTATTCTCTCCTCTTTCAGGTATAAATCCTCTTCTTGACTTGAGCCAACGCAAAATAAAAAATACTGTAGTGCGATACTTTTGCTTCAACAGGAATCGCAGCAAAGAAATTCCATAATAATAATAATCAGTCTATAATGTGACACAGAAACATCCAGAAGCACCTCTTTCCTCCACATATTTAGAGCAACAGCACCAACATTGACGTGGTGCTAGGGCAAAAACGCACAAATGCCACCAACGTCAACATTTAAAGTGACTGAGTTTTGGGATCACAAAATTAAAAATACTGCAGTGTGATCATTTTTTTGGATTCATCTTGTATGGTTCAAAAACGGACACCACAATCTCCCAAATTCCATTAAATAAGCAAACCAACAAATAAAGACAGGTTGAGAATAGCATCCGACGGAGAGGATCCAGTCCGACGTGGGACTCGCTTCTCTTTTTGTCGAGGCCTTGAATTTGGCTCCATCAAATGCAAACTTTACTTCAATGATGCAAAGTCTGGGGCTACCGTGTTTGAGTATTCGGTCGCTGGACGATGGAAAGCACACCACACATTCAAAACCCATTAGAAAACTAACTCTGTAAATCTACCATGAGATTTTAAATTAGACGGTGAATCACTGACAACCATCTTTTGTTAGGTTAGTAAAAGTGCCCATTTAAAGCCAATTGAATCGGTCAAATAGCCATAAGGACATGCAGAAGCCTCCACTTCTGCCAGCATTCCTCAAAGCCTTTGTGGACAGTGACCTTGCCATAGAAATATTTTATTGTCTAAACATGCTCGTCTTTATCATGCTGTCAGATCCATGACCACAGCAGCTCTGCGCTCAGACGGGTTTGCCAATAAAAGTGACGTGTGACTGAAAGATCGAGCCACAAGAGTCCAGTTCTCACAAGGAAACAATCATTTTCTGTTCAGACGACTTGTATCTGATTAACTGAAAAAGGCAATATACAGTGCAGTCAATTTACATTTCAGAGATGTCGTCACAGCCACGTTTCAGAACCAAAACATGGACTCACTCATTCATTGCACTTTCTGAATGATATGCAAGATACAAAACGCCCTCTCCTCTCCGGAGCGAGGGCTGCAGCTTCAGTAGAACATTAATTTGAAAGTGACTAAGACGTTAAACTGATGTTTATGAGTGATTTTAGGTTTCCATTAATGATGGGAGTTTTGTTCTTATAAAAAAAGGACAATTTCTCGATTACAATGAGTCGTTCAACATCTGAACATGACGTTGTAAAGAAAAGATGAGCATGAGGCCGTGCAGCGTCTCTGAAAGGTGTGTTGTGTGTGTGGATGTTCACAGGACAATACTTATGGGGCTTTGAAGGCCCCTCGCGCAGCGGTGGTCGCAGCATTAGCTGCAGCGTTGGCAGCGGCGGTCTGAACCGTCTTGTTCGACATGACTCCAGTGGCAAACTCCTGCTGAGCCTTCTCAAAGCTGGCACCTGTGGTGCGGTACAGCGCGTGTACCTGGAACAACACAACTGTACTTAGATCACAGCTACACACACTTTAAACTTTCTCAGAGCAGTTCCAACCTTTTTAAACATGATGAGGGATCCCACAGAGAGGGCGGTGAACAGTGCAGCGATGAGTAACATGATGATTCCTACAGAGATACTGGTGTTGAGGCCTGTGAGAGCTGCAATCCAGCCGCTGAACACACACACAGTCAGTACAAGGATTCAAACAAACTAGTGCTGCATAAGCTGAACTTACCAAGTTCCCCAGCTAGTAATACCAATACTCTGCAGTACATGAACTCCAAATTGGCAAATATAGACAAAGAAGAAGACAAAAAATCTGAACGAGCTGTCGCTCCTGCAAACACATTCAAGAGGTGATCAATGACAGAAGCATCAGACACAAACTGAAGAGGGTCTTACCTAAACGCTCCGTAAAGTGGTCTGTACCAGCAGACAAACGAACACGGTGTAAAAAGCAGGAACCACAACATGGCGAGACCAAAGTCGACTCCACGATTGGGATCCACACAGAACCAGGCGAGGCAGCCGAACATGTTCACGAACAGAGTGGCTGCATGAACTGCACACAGAACACACAGAACAGACTTAGAACAGCGAGACTCTCCATGGCCTCGCAACAAAGTACATCTGTGAGATGTTAGTGCCATAAGAACCAACTCAGACTCTGAGGAGCACAGGGACTGGCCTCCTGCTGGGACTCTGAGGAGCACAGGGACTGGCCTCCTGCTGGGACTCTGAGGAGCACAGGGACTGGCCTCCTGCTGGGACTCTGAGGAGCACAGGGACTGGCCTCCTGCTGGTGCCCAGAGTCAGGATTAAACCAATTTAAGCTTTTGCAGCTAAAATCTGAAACAGCTTTCCTGGGATCGTAAGGCCTGTCAAATCCCTGCCACGTTTAAGTCCAGGTCTTATTTAGCAGTTCATATGACTCATTCATGTTTCACTCTTTATTTTATTTTTTTACTGAATTTTAAATACAATATGTTTCCTGTTTTTATGTTTTATCCTGTTTTTTACTGTGTTTACAACACTGGCTTCAAACACTAGATAGTCATTACATTAAACAGATAAAAAAACAGATTTTTCTGATCACAGGTCTTTGAACAATAAACGCTATAGGTTTAGGAAGATTCATCTTGTCTCCTTAGTAGAAATAAAAGTATTTTGTTGGTATGTTTTAACCTAGAGGGAGCTGAGCCGAAAGGCAAAGCTCTCGATTTACCGGTCAATCTTCGTTCCCTCCCTCACCTATGGTCATGAGCTGTGGGTAATGACCGAAAGAACGAGATCGCGGATACAAGCGGTCGAAATGAGCTTCCTCCGCAGAGTGGCTGGGCGCTCCCTTAGAGATAGGGTGAGGAGCTCGGTCACACGGGAGGAGCTCGGAGTAGAGCCGCTGCTTCTCCACGTCGAGAGGAACCAGTTGAGGTGGCTCGGGCATCTGTTCAGGATGCCTCCTGGACGCCTCCCTGGGGAGGTGTTCCGGGCACGTCCCACCGGGAGGAGGCCCCGGGAAAGACCTAGGACACGCTGGAGGGACTATGTCTCTCAGCTGGCCTGGGAACGCCTTGGGGTCCCCCCGGACGAGCTGGAGGAGGTGTGTGTGGATAGGGAAGTCTGGGCGTCTCTGCTTAGACTGCTGCCCCTGCGACCCAGCAACGGATAAAGCGGAAGAAAATGGATGGATGGATGTTTTAACCTTGACATGTTTCGACGGATACTTTCGTTTTCCTCAGAAGCGCCTCGCAACGTCACATGGAAGTATCCGTCGAAACATGTCAAGATAAGATTAAAAGATTATAAGATTGCTAACCTAAAAAAAGGCTAAGAAGAACAGATGATGGGTGAGAAACCTTCCTTTGCTAAAAAAAGCCATTTTATTTGTGTCTAGCCCTGGGAGACAGAGGGATGACCAGAGCCAGACTGAAACATGCTAATAATGATACTTAGACGATGTACTCACACATCCACAGATTGTACATGATTTTGACAGTCTTTTGGTACTCTATAGGAATATCCACAGCTATGTCATGGTAGAAGCACGGCCCCACAGGAAACTTCTCGGGCAAAGGAGGCCAGTTGTTCTTCCGACCTGGAATAGACAATCGTTTGCATGTTTTGGTTCGTACGAACGGTTAAAACACACACACACACACTTTTCACATAAACCTAATGGCGCTCGATGAGGACACTGACCTCCTCCGTGAGACTGTAGCTCTCTCTCTCGTCGATCGAGTTCTGCCGCTTTCTTCTCCAGCTCTTCCTGCCTCCGCAACAGCTCCGCCTGAGCCCGCGCCTGATCCTGAGGAAGAAGCATCAGTAAGAACAAAGTTGCAGACAGAAACACGACATAAAAGCAAGTCCAAGCTCGGGTTCTGGGCACAAAGTAAGTCAACTTGATTCCAACAGATGCATTTAAATAGTGACGATAAAATAACAAAACTGAAGCAGGGAACTAGTTTTTCAAAGACCTAGGATTTAATTGCATATTTAAATTGTTGATTTGAAAGTGAGGTGCCTCAGCTGTAAGTACTGGCAGGACGGTAATATTTTACAAAGTATAGACATTGTGCAAAAGCCTTCAACTCTTCTTGCTTCTCATTAACCCACTGAATTGTTTTCTCAAGAGCAAATCATACACACAAGGAGTTTCTATTGTCCTCCATCCAAGGTCTACACCACCAGGATACATCCACCGTTCTGCCTTTGTTTTCTCAACCATGGGACAGTGGATCTCAAACTCCTGAAGAACTAATTAACATATATACAAGGCAACTCAAGAACAAAAATATTAGGTCTTCAAAGTACCACTATAAAATTAAGCTCGGTATGTGTCTGGGTCAGGGAAAAATCAGGAATGGTCTGGGACAGCTTGGTCTTGTACTACACCGTTTTTTTACATGTAAACTTCCTCTGAAACTGAATGCTAGGGAAGAGAAAGAAAGGCTACGAAGAGAGGCGTTACTCTACTAAACACTAACTACTTTAATAGTACCTTTTTGCGCTGTTGTTGTGAGAAAACCAAAAGGAAAAGGAAAGAAGAACATCAGTATTCATTACGTCGCAGGTCACAAACATCGTACAGGAGTTATTAATCTTTACTGGATTTAAAAACTGTACGATAAACAGAAAAGCAGTCTGTATCACAAGATCATATTTTATAGCGACGGTTTTGAATTGGGGTGTTTTTTGTGTGAGAGAAAGAACCCCAATTCAACATTCAGCCACAGAAAAAAAACCTTACATTTCTTGTTCAGCATGGGCTCTACACTGCAAGTATGCCAAGTGGAAAACTGCTTAGGATGTATAATTACGGTTGTATAGACATAACAACACATAGACATTACACAGTGTAGAGTACAAAGACATTAACGTCATTGTAAACTATTGCATTGTATACTAATCTATACACAACCATAGGTATTTTTTTATTCAAGTTGGATTTGTAATGAATAATTTAGGTGTAAGAGTCATTTGAAAAAGGGGGTGGGATTAAATTAGTGTACTTCTTCGCACTCCCTTTTGTACATTTGTATACTTATGTATGCATTTATATATGTATACAGAATTATCTTTAAGTATCTCGTTTTGGTTAATTTTTTTGACTAAACATGAGTTGAAATAAAAATGAATGAATAAAAGTTTTAAGATAATATAGTAATATCAAAAGTTAGCCATAGCAGTTTTGTCGTAAAGAGAATTAGTAATTATTTGTTATTAATCTTTATCTTATTTAATTCCATTGAGATTCAAAGATAACTTTCCTAAGGCTGTTCTGGCCAAGATGCATTCTAAACACTCAAGGTGCTGGATTGATTTTCTGACATTTTACAAAGATGATTTTATAGTTCTTGCGATTTTACCTGAGTTTGTTGCTGTGAATATGCAGGCGGCTCTTCTGTAGGCTTCATTATGGCTGGCTGCGTGTTCTGCAAAGGGGCAGGGGCAGATTTGGGGGCATTTCCTGGCTGCAAGCAAACAAGAAAAGGTGCAGTTTAATTCACTTTGTCCAATATGCATTCATCTAGGGCTGGGCGATAAAACGATAACGATATATATCGCGATAGACATGTGTTCGATATCAATAGAGAATGGGGTCGATAGAATGTTCGATAGTTTAACTTAACTCCGTCAGGAAAAACAGGAAGAAAACGCCGGAAGTAAAGCCGAATCATAAGCGCATGGCATTGTGGGGGATGTAGGCAGAGGCTTCTCGACCAATAACAGCAGAGCAGGAACCGCAAAACTTTGTGGGAAATGCAAAAACAACAACAACCGCACCATGCGTGGCGTCCATGGATCTATAGCTCGTGTTTCAATGCCGTGTCAATGGTTATGCACGTACGTGCGCGGAATAACATGTGCGGCGGCAGAGGCAGTGGACGGACACAATGTATTCGGCGAAAGCAAGAGATTAACTTTTTCCTCGGGAAGCATGTGCGGCACAGAGAGCCACACGGAGCGGTCACGGGGACACAAGACCCTCAAACAGCTAAACCAGGAGCTAAACCAGGAATAAAAAACCAGGATTAAACCAGGACTAACAACGAGGGACACAGTGTGAATATATTCCTCCAGCCTCATCGCCCCGTGACTGTAAACAAGGCTGCTAAGGTTGGTTAGCCCACACGACAAATATATTTATTTAGGTTTAAAAAAAAACTCAATATATATCGTTATCGACCGATATGAATGACTTATATCGTGATATAGTTTTCAGCCATATCGCCCAGCCCTACATTCATCCATCACCGACTGTACTGACCGTTCTGGCGTCGGTAAAGGGGTTATACTCCTCTAGACCACCAGGAGGGGCAGAGCTCGTCACCTGTGTCACTGAAGGGTCCTAGAAAGCATTAAGGGATACATTATATTAGAGAATAATGGATCAAACACATACTAATTTATCTAAGTGTTTTCCACCATAGAACATTTAGGTATTTTAGGCTCACTGATCCATCAGATATTCAGAAGGCGATAAAATAAACAGATGTGTGGGTTCTGCTGTATTTACTTATTATCATGTTGCCTTGTGTTTTGATCTATGGCATCATGTTATATATGTATACCGCCCTCATGTTTACTGTCACCAATTGAAGAAAATACATAAACAGAGCTTGTGTGCGCTGCTATGGAATGAGGTGTACTTATAATCCATCACTGCTCGGCCTGAAAGCAGAGGATACACTATGAGCCTAGACGTAGACCGAGTTTTCAGTCAACATATGTGTAATAGATAAAACACCTGCTGGAGGAAAGGCCACAGTGCGGGGATCGTGGCTGCAGTGAGACAATGCTCTGACAGTGTGTTGTTTATTGACACAGGGCAAAAGCAGCTAGCTAACACTGACAGACAGCGGCTAACGACAAACGCCTTGACTCAAGCTCAGTTTATAACTACAAACTCATATACTGGCGCCAGCGCAGCTCGGAGGGCAATAAAAGACCAGAGCAGACACATGTCTACAGGGTGATGACAGATGACAGAGATGACAGAGAGACGACAGAGAGATGACAGGGGCAGACGGAGCCCATCACAGCGGGTTAGCCTCTGCGCTACCTGGAAGGGGTTGCTGAAGTCCGGGTCTGCAAACGGATTACTGTCGAAGTCGGACATGGTAACAGCTCTAACAGTCGGCTGTGTGAGAACACGGGCTCCCCGACACTCCCAATGATGTGACCGCCTTTGTTTTGTTTGCAGGCTGCAGTCCCTCAGATGATGGAGAGCCCACTCTCGCCTTTAGCTTTAGCTTTAGCCTGAGCAGAACAAAGATGGCGGACACAGCGCGTGACGTCACGCACTGTACGTGCTTTCAGCACCGCGGACAGCACGAGCGCAGGTAAGATTCACTTCAAGAAATTTATATATTGAATTTATATACTTATAAATACATACTTGTGCATACAAATGGATCCGTGCTGAGATGAAATTCACATCACAGAGTAATGTTTGGGAGCACTGGTGTATTACAGTCTGTGCCAATAGGTCGGTTTTATTTATTGACTGAATGGAGCATACTCATATTTTTCACATGATGAAGAACGGTAGAGGGATCAGGATAGAACACCAAACCAATGCAGCCAGTGCAATCTTATATTGCACTGGCTGATTATTATTATTTATTTTTTTAACAATGCACTGTTTGAATAAGGGGCCTCGTTTAGCTCAGTTATTTTTCAACATATGTATGGTCTTTGTATCTTCATCCACACATATGAAAATGGTTTCATCTTTACCAGACTGATTTACAACATTCAATTCTAAAAAAAAACCTATTGAGTCCATTACACACCACGACCACTTGATGGAGCTATGATTCAGACAGTGGCTTCTTTCCCTGAATTCTCTCATTCTACTCTCATTTATTTTAATTCAAACGAAGGGTGGCCATGTGAGGAACATCAGAACAGCTGACAGCCTGTAAATGTGATTTAAACATTTAGGCACCATTTACCCAGATTAACTTCCAATTGGAGAACAAATGCCATTAGGAGAAAATCTTACAGAAAGTGGAAAATTATATTGTGCTCCAGCTTCATTCGTGATTATGTTGCATTGTTTTAAACCAAGCAACATTTCGATACATGCTTGTAAATCTGCATGGGTGAAGACTTTTGCATGAGGTTGACTTGCTTTTAGAATGGCGTCCTCGATAGATGTCTTTAGTGTGGAAGTGACTCCTTTAGCTATTACCTCCAACATCAGTCTTGCAGTAGTTGGTCATGGTCATTTAGAAATGTTGATTAGGTCACCAACCACAAGGGATAATGATTCCCTCCACACAGATCCAGTCCACACAGGAAAGAGACAGCAGCTTCTCACGGGCAGCACGTCAAGCCTGTGTTAAAAGCCACCACTGTAATTATCTTCATATGCCCTGAATAAGAACCTTGTGCATAATTGGATCTCATTAAGGGGATAAGAGTGTTATTTTAGGGCCCTGAAAGGTTGGGCAAGCAGCACTTCATAATATGGATCATTAATGCGGCAACATCTGGTATTCTGGCTCTCCTCTCTCTTAGCTCTTCCCACACAATTGCTAAATCGGCAAGCTGACTTCGAAACTTATCGCAATAACTTATTACTTCTTCTTCTTCTTCTTGCCGTGCACATAAATATACAGTCTATATGGGGGTGTGAGTTTGTTTGTGCTGATGACCAGTCAGATTGCATTACACACTGTGGGGGGAAACAGCGCTCCGTCACCGGAAAAGCGATTGATTCCCCATTACCATATTAATGAGCAGATTTGTTAAGAGGTTTGCAGGAGAGAGAGAAAATAACTGGGTCTTCATAGGGCACGACATTTATAAATAAAGCTGATGCGGAGAAAAAATGGAAATTAAACCTTTTAGTTTAATAAATTTGAGGCGTCCGCGGCAAAGCGAGCTATTTGCATTTCCATTTGTGGCCCAATAATGAAAGAGCAGGTCTATGATGAGGCTGCTAGCTCTGCATTTGGGTCTTAAACAGTCGCACAATCACTCCAGCGTGCAGCTCTGCATATCACAGTCATTAGCTCGGGCCAGTTAACTTTGCTACTTGGCCTTCCGATATTAGATGTCAACCTGAGATATTTTCTTGGCTGGTAGCTGTGTGGTTTGAATTATTCTCCCTTCTCACACGTGCGGTTTTCACATTTAACTACATTACAATAGAACTGTCTGTTTCTGGCTTTGGATGAATGTAAAATTAAACTTTATTTCCCAACATTTTGTCTTGTGGAGTAAAAAAAAAGTTCACATTTACGATTGAATTAGCAAAACAAGTGGAAATATTGTGTTTACCTCTTATGCACACATTGCACATGTCAAAACAATCTTTTTCTGTTAAAAGTACTCCGGTTAAATGTGGCTTTTTCTTTTCTCCTCGTAACATTGTGGAGTAGACCCACACAGCCATTTGTCACACAAACACACATAGCTCCACTGATTGAATTTATAGGGGAATGGATGTTGACTAGACCACTCCAAGTAGGCTAGATTGTTGTTGTTTCCAGATTGACAGACAGACCCAGTGCGGCTGATTGAAAGTGCCTTTTAGCTTGCTCTCACTGTATATTTGATTTGGCAAAATGGAAGGGGAGTCCAGTCTTCTCCCAGGATGCAAACACAGCTCTCTGTTTGTCTGGGAGTTTGTGTGCAACAGTGGCTGCTTTGGTAAATGCTGCATAAATTGTGGCCCTTTCAGGTATTAATTGAATAATGCAGCACTCCTCTTGTCAGCCATCAAATGGGCCACTCTATCAGTGGCCTGCACTGCTCTCCCCGCCATTGAATTGACTAGATTTATCTGTGTTGTTCCAACCAAAGGAGGCCATTTGTTCCAAATGTTTGAAATAAACATGCAAAGAGCCGGCACATGTACTCATAAAATAAGCCTTGACGTCGTCCCTTCGGGCTGTAAAACAACTTGGACTGTGTCTCGGCCTCTCAAATCACGTTGGGATCCTGCAAAACCAATGGTGTGGTTAAAACGGATGCAAAGAAATGTGAAGAAATTGCCACTATAAAAGAAAAGTGAAGGGAGTGTGAAGAGGAGAATAAAGTGCAGTGTTGTGCTAGACTTATTTTCCATCGCTTTAATGGGTCACATCTCATTGAGCGCCTTATGGCTGCTTCTCAACTCAGAGAGCTGCTTTTCACACCTGCTTTGAGGTTCCCGTCATTAAGTTAATATTGGCATATGGATCTTTGACTGAAGTCACTCAATCTTTGCACTGGTAATTGATATAACTTTTTTAAATGCCACTGAATATGTTCCAATAAATGTGCCTTGTTTTGTGTGTGTTGATACAGTGTTAAACCAGTATCTAATAAACTTTATTAAAACTATAGACTGTGGCTGCGCAAACCCCTCAACCAAAGATACGAATAGATAGATAGAGAAATAGTTAGATAGATACTTTAGTGAACCCTCAGGAGAAACTCATGTGTCCAGCAGCAGAAACACATCCATCAAAACACACATTAAATACATTTGATTTATTTATTTCAATCTTATAAACAGGAATCCAATATGGAATTTACAGAAACTACGGATTAGACGTAGAAACATACACAAGTACATGCATTCATACATACATTTAAGGGTGTCTTTTTTTCACTCCTCAAACATAGTCAACATAATTTTAAAGTTGCTAACAATAGTAATATAATATCTTTTCTTTTCTTTTTTTTTGTCTTTGTCTTACCTGTTTACCATAAGTATTTGTCCCGTCTGCACGCTTGAGTATTGTACTTTGGAATTGCATGGTATGTGGGTTTTGTCATGCTATGTTATGTATTGAATGTTTTGTATGTGTATGTATTGGATGTGTATGTGATGTCAGAAAAAAAACAAAACAAACAATGGTAATTCATTCACTTTTGTTTTCCTCAATCTTGATCACTGGATTCTCTTATATCTTTAGGCCCCTGCAGATAAAACAGTGAGTAAAGTTTTCATACATCTAAAGCTATTGTTGTCTTTCATAAATCCATTTCTTCTGCTGCTTTAGCTCGGTGTAAGGCAGAGTTCTGGAACGCAGTGGCACATGTTCGATTTGCTGATTGAGCACATCTCTAATTTTCCGCAGGATAATATCTGACTCACCCGGTGCCATCTGTTTTTATTACCCGGCTGAATATGTTTGTCTAAGGATATCAATAATCATAAACAAAGCCATGACTCTCCCAGCGTCCGTGGTGGAGCTTGTTACGGCGTGTGCTGCTGTCAGCGGCTGTGTCTTCAGACTGTATTAGTGCGGACTGTATACAGATGGACAATGCTAACAGGCTAGCTCGATGAAGCCCCATAGGGAAGTGCTCATGGAGAAAGTTTTGCTCTGGCTCCCATTGATTTACATGGGAGCCAGAGTATAGGAAACACCATTAGTTGAATAAACGTATGTGTCACACTCACCATTAGGGGCTTGTTTTAGTGCTCTCTGTGATCCTTGTAAACATGGGGAGGCTGCATTTCAGATTCATGCTGCTAAAATCTGGAACAGTCTTCCTGAATATGTGAGACAGGCCTCCTCTCTGACAATGTTTAAATCCAGGTTAAAAACAGTCCTGTTTAGCTGTGCATACAACTGAGGGATTTCATATTTTTATCTTTCTTTTTAATGTTCTGTGATTATTTATGATTTTAATGCTATCTTTTTTGTTCAGCACTTTGATTTACCTTATGTATGAATTGTGCTATTAAAATAAACTTGCCTTGTCTTGCCTTGGTGTTTATATTCTGAGATTTTTTTTGTAAATCCAGATATGAGCCATATAAGGAATGACCAATTGGATGCCTTCCTTTGGGGGAGAAACTTCAACTTGCCGTAACAACCACCTTAGCAACACGTGTGGCCCTGCAACGCCGCAAAGCTAGCACCGTCGGAACAAATGCCCATATTAGGAAATTATCACTGCAGGATTAGGATATAATCACTGCACATTATTCTGAAGATAGAATCCTTCCGTTGTAGCAGCTAAACAAAACAGTTTTTAACCTGGATTTGAACATTGTCACAGAAGAAGGCTGTCTCACATTCCCAGGAAGACTGTTGTAGATGTTAGCTGTGTAGCTCCAATGCTGCCTCCCCGTGTTTAGTCCTGACTCTGGGCATCAGCAGGAGACTAGTCCCTGCGCTCCTCCGAGTCCCATCAGGAGACCAGTCCCTATGCTTCTCCGAGTCCCAGCAAAAGATCAGTCCCTGTGCTCCTTCGAGTACCAGCAGGAGACCAGTCCCTATGCTTCTCCGAGTCCCAGCAAAAGACCAGTCCCTGTGCTCCTCTGAGTCCCAGCAGGAGACCAGTCCCTATGCTTCTCCGAGTCCCAGCAAAAGACCAGTCCCTGTGCTCCTCAGACTCCCAGCAGGAGACCAGTCCCTGTGCTCCTCCGAGTCCCAGCAGTAGACCAGTCCCTGTGCTCCTCCGAGTCCCAGCAGGAGACCAGTCCCTGTGCTCCTTCGAGTCCCAGCAGGAGACCAGTCCCTGTGCTCCTTCGAGTTCCAGCAGGAGACCAGTCCCTGTGCTCCTCAGACTCCCAGCAGGAGAGTTTGTGTTGGTTCAGTATTAGTGTGGTGTTTAAATACAGTGTGATGTAAATGACATAAATCGTCTCTGGATCCTCTGACGGCGGTGGCATTGTCTCCTATTACCAGGGTAATCAGCGTCGCCCTGTGTCCGTAACAAGCAGCGTAATGCCCTAATCAGGCCGGGATTAACTCAAGCCTCACTCTAATCATTTGAAAAGTGATTTATATTGTTTTTCCTGTTCGGGACAAATGAAATCTGTTTCTCAAATTAATACTGGCTTTTCATCACTAGGAATTTAAAGAGCCAGAAAGCATTGCATTCTTGTCATTAGGGCTTTGCTTGAGAAGACGTCTTACCCAGGTACAAGAGGTCTGCCCCGTTCTAATCCATGTCATTAATGGCCCATTGTGGAAATGCATAACCCAAAATAGACTCGCTTCTCAGCAAGAAGGTCGTGGATTCGAATCCCGGTCGGAACAGGGTCTTTCTGAGTGAGTTTGCATGTTCTCTCTGCGTCTGCGTAGGTTCCCGCCAGGTGCTCTGGCGGTGTTGGTTGGGGCTTTGATGCACAGTGTGCTCGGCGTCTCATGGAGCGAATGAAACAATATCAGAACTCTGAACATTGTAAAGTGCTTTGGGTGAAGCTTGGGCTGTAAAAACGCGCTATAGAAGTAAATATTTCTTACTTACCTACTAATAGGGAACGTACTTATTAGAATGATTAGACCGTCGTGAGACAGGGTAGTTTTGCCATACTGAGGATGTGTTGTTGCAATAGTAGTGTTGCAATTGTGTGTTTTTAGTGGTAGGGAAAACCGTAGCACCTGGAGGAAACCGGAGCAGACACGGGGAGAACATGCAAACTCCACACAGAAAGCTCTGGTTGTGGAATCAAAGCCTTCTTCCTGTGTTGCAATCAGGAGAGTGTCATCCTGATTGTTTACATGGAAATGTTGATCCTTTGGCTGTCATGGAAACTATAGGAGGCCAGAAGAGTATATATAAAAAAAAGTGCTATACTGTATAAATAAAGAAGACTTACTCGCTCACTAGTGTCAGTATGAATCTGCTCCATGTTGTTTTCATGAATTAACTTGCATCTAGATTAGATTTACATGGGAGATTTTCTATCTATCTATCTCAAAATGCATTCTTCTCCCACAGGAATGTGAAGATCAGAATCACATACTTTATACTGTATCTAAATCCAATCCTCTCCATGAAATATCTACAGATAACATCACATTCCAGACATAATGTTAGCTCCTAACAGCTTCAACACACAGTACTTTGACCCTAGAATGGTTGTAACTGTATCAGTCGCAAAAAAGAGCCTAAATAAATCACATACATAATACATTGTCTCATGTTTCTTCTTCTACTGGTTAGCGCTCTCGTTTCGGCAAGAATTTGGCTCCCAGATGGAACGGGCCTTTCAGAGAGGAGTTTGCATGTTCTTTACATGTCTGTGTTGGTTTTCTTTGAGGTCCGATCTACCACATAAAACACGTAAAATAGGCTTCTTTCCTGTGGGTCCAAAATTACTCTGAAAAAGAACTTCTGGAATACCTGGGAAAATACTCAGAGCTTCCTGATTTGGACAAAATTAAGGTCAATCCTTGCCATTGGTTGAGATATTTTCCTTCAGCAAATCTTACAGTTGTGGTTTTGCAAAGAGGATGGACGGAATATATTACTTTTGAAAATTACTTAATTTACGATTGCCTGTCTGGTCATACAATACAGATTAAGTCACCTTTAAATAAAGTCAAATACAAAACTTTATCAAATTTTTCAAACTAGAGACAACTATTTTAAGTATTTTCAGTTAATATCTTTATCCATATAGCACTTTTCATAGACCAGAGTCACATAGCACTTTAATAATAATATAATACATCTTTATTTGTAGTGCACTTTTTAAAAATTAGGTTTTCCATTTTTAAATTCAAATTTGTTTTAGCTAAAAATATGAGACAAAGAAAAACTAATGCTAGTATCAATCTGAAGAGTTTAGCTCGGGTCTTCGGACTTAACATTTTCTCATCCATGTTCAAAAACCATGTTTTTCGGGCTCTTCTGTTGCCTCACTGCAGCCGATCAAACACATAAGTCTGTGCTCTACGGTTATATCACCAAAATGAGTATTGTTGCTTCCTTTAGCCTCATCACCCATGATACTAGCCTGGCCATAGCCATCCGTACACTCTGCTCAGTCATCATTTCACTGCATGTACCGTCTGGGTCTGGTCCCTGTGTTAGCGATTACAATCTGTTGAATTTCGACCGGCTACTCAGAGAGCGCGGAAGGCGGGTGTTGTAGGTCGGTGCCGGTGATGTCAAGAGTTTGCGCCGGACGGGCAGGTTGTAGTTTGGCAATGGCGAAGAATGCGATAGTAAAGTAATCAGGTCTAGTTCTATCAAGAAATTGAAGCAGGAGCAAGAGGAATGTTTCGCAAATGTAATCACTGGTCAAGATTGTGGCGCTACTCCCCACGGGCTCTGCTAGCGGCAAAGGAGATGGCTAAATGCTAAATGCTAACGACTCACTCGGGCGCATTACATACGTCACGGTAAACTCAGATCCAATCGTTTCAATCTGCAAAAGGAGTTAACCCTTCCCACTTGTAAACGGAGCTCAATGGAGCACCTCCAGACCTTAGTATGAAATGTAATTTGTACTATGGTGTGGTACAACCAGGCTACCATGATACAAAACTACTCACATAAACCCTACATCTGTGGAGAATCTTTCCTAAACATTCTTTTAACTTTTTATTTCCACGGAATAATGCCAGTAATGACCCAGATTGAAAAAATGCGAGAAAGCAAAAATGCGTGTTTATAAAAGGCATATTTGTACGACCATGTAACAACTGTCCAATTACAATAGTTTGACAAATAGCCTGTACTATTTCAGAAAAAAAGTCATTTTCAGAATTGTATCAGCTCCAATCTCTGCAATCTCTTGGCCTGGAGTTTTCACTTAACATTGTACGTCTGCAGTTTTTTCCGCCGCCTCCTACTTGGTTTCATTTCCATTGTTAAACAAATCAATTCCAACCCTGACGCACTTCCCACTGTTTTTCATTATGGGAAACCAACGACGGACATGAATTGCAACAGAAGCCTGAAATTTCCTGCTCACAATTCGGTTTGTGCGCGGCATACAAACCCCACTTTAATAAATGCAAATTGTGAGCCAATCTTGCGATGCTATCTGGGCTCCTGTTCGTACACTCATATCCTCTATCCCACTGTTTTGCAGACTTCAAAAACAATCTTGAGGTTAATAACGAGTGAATAGGAAATAGAGTTTTGATAGTGTCCAGTGTCTTCTGTGTGTTTTTTACTTGTTGGCAGTGGCGTAGCGTGGCAGGACGGATGAGACGGGTGAGACGGACCCCCAAAGAAGCAGGACTGACAATATATTTAAAGGAGTTTTGAAAGTCATGGGATGGGTAGAGTGGGAGATTTTTTATTTTTGTGTTTGAGGGTAACAATGCAGATTAATGAACAAATGTAAATAATAATAATAACAACAATAAATCATATTAATAAAGCATTTTTTTGGAAAACTCAAAAGATGTTTTACAAAAGGACAGGTTAATCGAAACAAAAAGAAAATAATAAATGGCTAAAATAGACAGCAGTGGTTTAAAACTTTGGAGAGTTCCAGAGAGTTGGGGCAGCTGCAGTGAAGGTTCAGTCCACTAAGCTTCAGAAGGCTCAGTTTCAAGAAAGCTTGAAATTTCCCCACTGTGGAAAAAATAAAGGATCTCTTATCTTATCTATTTTCCTCAGGGTTCAGAAGGCTTGGTCCTCAAGGTTCAGAAGGCTGAGGGTTCAGAAGGCTCGGTCCTCAGGGTTCAGAAGGCTCGGTCCTTAGGGTTCAAAAGGCTCGGTCCTCAGGGTTCAGAAGGCTCGGTCCTCAGGGTTCAGAAGGCTTGGTCCTCAGGGTTCAGAAGGCTCGGTCCTTAGGGTTCAAAAGGCTCGGTCCTCAGGGTTCAGAAGGCTCGGTCCTCAGGGTTCAGAAGGCTCGGTCCTCAGGGTTCAGAAGGCTTGGTCCTCAGGGTTCAGAAGGCTCGGTCCTCAGGGTTCAGAAGGCTTGGTCCTCAAGGTTCAGAAGGCTCGGTCCTTAGGGTTCAGAAGGCTGAGGATTCAGAAGGCTCGGTCCTCAGGGTTCAGAAGGCTTGGTCCTCAGGGTTCAGAAGGCTCGGTCCTCAGGGTTCAGAAGGCTTGGTCCTCAAGGTTCAGAAGGCTCGGTCCTTAGGGTTCAGAAGGCTGAGGATTCAGAAGGCTCGGTCCTCAGGGTTCAAAAGGCTGTGGGTTCAGAAGGCCCTGCGTCTGTGTGCAATTTCCACATGGGGCGCCTTGAAATGTTTGAACGGCAGAAGGAAAATCCCACTGAGATTTCAGATTATATTTTCAGGGATTCAGAGAGGTACATGTACTGTACATGTTATTGGTAGGGGAAACCGCAACATCTGGTGGAAACCTACACAGACATGAGGAGAACCTGCAAACTCTACCAGTCTGGTGGTGGAATCAAACCCAGCAATAGTAACAACAACTGTGCCACTGTGTTACCAGGTTGGCTGCAGTGACTGCATCAGAGACGAACACAAGAGGAAGACGTTTGCCGGTTCGAAACAAGTCAAGGTAATAACATCGCTATCTTACAATTGTCCAGTATTGAGGAAACAAATAATTACATCATAAGATTAACTTTAGGGATCAAACCCACAAACTTCTTGCTCTGAAACGGCGGCATAACATGGGTACAGAACACGATAAATGTACTTTTTTGCAGATATTCAACCTCATTCAACCTCATTCAAGAGCAAACTAAACACTCACAATTTTGGACTTTCTTTATTCTTCAGATGTGTCTGTATTTGTACTTTTGATGCACACTGGGTTATTGTTTTGAATGAATGAGCCGTATCGATACATTGCCTTCTTCTTTTCTTGTAGATCTCCACTAAACATTCAAAACTGGCTGAAATCAGGTCAGGTACACGAGGGTTGAATGAATTGAATTTTATGTAATTTTGCTATAAATAATTATTCCCCCAGTGTAGTTTTTGCCCTGGGCCCCTGGAGATACTAACGGTGCCACTGAGCCTTCACTCCTGGACCCTTTAGACCCTGTTCTTTCCTATTTCTGCACCTATGTTCTCTCCATGCTGTGTAATTCTCATCTTACACACTCTGTTGCCCTGGGCTATGAATAATGCATAGTATATATATGTGTGTGTGTGTGTGTGTGTGTATGTGTGTGTGTGTGTGTGTGCGTGTATGTCTGTGTGTGTCTGTGTGTGTGTGTGTGTGTGTGAGAAATCCTCAATCTCATGCTTGGCTCCTGGCAGCATTACAGATCTAGCATCTCTATTACAGATATGAAAAGCAGAGGTGGAATACTGTACGAGACACGGGCTAACTTCATTGTTTGGGTTTCAAAGTTGGCGATTCCTGAAAATATCAATCCAGAACAGATGCGGCGAAGCACTTGCCTTTGTCGCATAATGTGCCGTGTAGTTTAATTTCTCCCCGTGATGGTTACAGCTCAAGGAGAATTTGATCAAGAGCTACTTTGGATTGAATAAAGCGTCAGGAGAGAAGCGCAAACAAGTCATGAAATGGTAAAACGAGGGGATACATAGAAAATCTTAGTAAAATCAAAAAAAACATTCAGGTTGGCTACAGTGTGAATGAGGCTTTAAATTTAATGAATTAATTTAGCTGGATTTTTGGCTGGATTTGTGCATGGATTTCAATTATATTTTTATTTTATTTTTTTGTCTAACCCTTGAATCATAATAGCAGTCATCTTGGAGGCCTTAAAATATCAACAAATACATAATTCTACAGTAATTAATCAGTAATAATTCATGTTGATAGTAAATCTTGAGTTAGCCGCTAACACGTCAGTTCACCTGTCGTTTTCGATTCCAAAATTGCTTGAAAATGCAGTATTTTTGTTTTGTTTTGATCCCACCGTTCTCTCTTGTGTAGCTTGTCCGTACAACTCACAATCCTTTATGCTTTGTTTGCCACGCGTTATAAAATCAGTGAGTAGTTGAAATACGTTTCCACAGCGCTCAAAGCCATGTGTCAGCAGCAGACCACTGAATCCATCCCCTCCATGGTCCCCCCCCCTCCATGGTCCCCCCTCAGCCCCAGCCCCTCATGGTTTCAGGTGGCTGCATGGCTCTGGAGATCATGTCTGGGATGGAGACCGCTGCTGTTCTGCTCTGTCGAAGGCTCAGAGACTCGGAATCGGAATCTTTTTTTATTGCCGTTGTAAGTAACAGGAAGTCAGAAACCAGGAATTTGCTTTGGCTCATGGTGCAAACAAGTTATAAAAGTAAAAATATATACAAGGCATGTATGAAGAATCTTCATAGACACCTTCAATGGTCTAATTTTTAGTTTTTAAGTTCATTTTGAAGCACACAAATTTAAAATAGTCGCATAATCAAACCTGGGTTCGATTCCACCTCCAGGCCTTTTCCCGTTTGCATGTTCTTCCTGTGTCTGCTTAGGACAATGTCAGCTTTAGATAGAGTTTTTACACTGTCTCTCTTTATGCTATAGAGTTAGAGATGTTATTTTATTTTAGCACAGAGTTATTACTCATTTATCTTGTGCTGTGACTGCTACACCTTTGAAATATGGGGAAAAAACAGATACAAGAGTGATTAGGATTGGTTTCCTTCTTGCAGGAGTTTATTACGATGAGGAAACATAGATCCATTGGAAAACAGCTCTAAGTTCTTCAATCGGCCGGTGCCATGGATCGTTGGCCGGTGCAGGCAAAACCAATCGCTCAATCCATGATCAGGCTTGCTAGTGGATACTCGAGTACAGAACTACAGATCTTTAATGAACACAAAAATATTATTATAGCATCAAATGTACAACTGTTTATACTGTTTTTAATGTTCTGTATGTTATTATTAGTGACTATTTATTGTATGTATACTGTATTTTAACTCTTTTTCATAACTACTACATGTGCTCCTCATTCTGTAACAAGTCTGTAACTTGTTATGCAACACTGAAATTCACCCACTCTGTTTGACGAATAAAGGATCTGTCCGTCTTAACCTTAATCTTTATATCCATAGCACATTTACAACAACAAAGGGAAAGTAAACAGGATTAATAACACACACATTTCCATCAGCGTGTGTGGAGTGAGAGAACATAGCAATTATAAAGTGCTTTGTGACTGTCTGTGAAAAGTGCTATATAAATAAATATGAGTCACTTATGAGGCGAGATGGTCTTGCCTCATATCACGACACTTACTTACTTACCTACATATAAAAATGGTGCTGCTTTGCCCCACTACAAAACACCAAATCCCGATGGCGTGTTCCCATTCAAGAGCGTATATGCTGTAATTACCAAAACCTCCTATTATTTCCTGAAAGGCCTTAAAAATGTCCAGCTCACATTCCGAGCGCGTCCCCGGCACATTCTATCAGGACATTTTGGACCAGCTCCAAATGAATCACGCTAACGACCTGCCCTGCTTCACGGCACGGCTCTCAAATTAATATCTAAGAAATGGAGATATAGGGCAAATAGATGAGAATGGGGAGGCCGCACTCGCTCTGGGGGCTTACGTGCCGAAGCATACACACACACACACACGCACACATGCACGAACACACACACATACACACACACACACACTCTCCACACAGCCGTGACAGGCAGGCTATTATCCCAGAGCCCGGGCCCCCGTAATTGGCTATCGCTTTTTACAAATGTGACTCTGTCTGACTCGCATATCAGCTCCCGTCTCATCAAGCGTGTAGGGGTCACCGTGTCCGTGCGTGTGCGTGTGCATGTGCGTGTGCGTGTGTGTGTGTGTGTGTGTGTGTGTGTGTGTGTTATAGTAGGGTCACTGGTGCCTCTTCTCACTCATGTCTCTATCACAGTAGTCGCTCCTGGTGCTGCTGATGGTGCTGATGGTGGTGGTGGTACGATGGCCGGTTAGCACTGATAAAAGTATTTAGCCATTAGCCGCTAATAGCATCCGGATCATTGCGACAGAACAGACCTGATGATGAAATATTAACCGAACGCACACTGGCATTAGATTTGAGGTCGGGTGATAGGGTGATTCGTCCCGGAGAGTCTGTGGTGCTGCATAGGAGTGAGCTAAAAAAAAAGAAATGGAAGATTTAGATATAATATTGAGTTTATTATTTAGTAACACAATAAAATAATGTTGTAATATCTGAGAAGATTTTTCTACAATCAATTGTCAAAAAAGAATGAATATTAGGAATTTTGCAGCTAAAATCTGGCACAATCTTCTTGAAAATGCACAGCTAAACAGAAGTGTTTTCAACCTGGATTTGAATATTGTCAGAGTAGCAGCTTGTCTCACATTTTCAGGAAGACTGTTCCAGATTTTAGCTGCATAAATCTTAATTGCTGCCTCATCATGTTTATTTGCTGACTCTGGGCACCAGCAGGAGGCCAGTCCCTGTGCTCCTCAGAGTCTCAGCAGGAGACCAGTCCCTGTGCTCCTCAGAGTCCCAGCAGGAGACCAGTCCCTGTGCTCCTCAGAGTCCCAGCAGGAGACCAGTCCCTGTGCTCCTTAGAGTCACCATCAGGAGGCCAGTCCCTGTGCTCCTCAGAGTCCGAGTTGGTTCACATCATTATTAGTATTAAACTAAAACAATTATAACATGGTAAAATGCTGTTAAATGTACGTTTCCTCTTAATAATAATGAATGGGTCAATTACATATAAATCACACGACTGTCAAATCCCCCAATTATAGGCAAATTAATCCGATATTAATTTAATTCTTTGCCACAACAATCCTTACCGGAGCTGGTCTTTGAGGGGCATTCTCCCACTGGCAGCACTAATGAATTTCCCTTTCAGGCGGGGCTGCGGAGCCGAGGTACATCAGGCGTAATGAGGTTGATTTAAACTTATATTCCAGAAGGTAAGTGCTTGCCTATCATACTCTTGCACCTTGTTAATCCTTAACCACTGATTAACCCTCATTACCTGGGAGAATATATAGGCGAGGTGCAGCTGATGGACCTGGTGTGGCGGAGATGGGGACGTCTGGGGTCAGCGCTCCTGTCCTGTTTCGGCCTCTTGCAGTTCCTCCACATTCAAATGATTCTGACCCCAGATCAGCCCCATCAGCTGACCACTAAAACACTGCAGCTGCTCCACACCCCCTCGCAATAAGGGAAAGATCTGAAATGTGTCTGGTGTGAGCACAGGGACGGGCTATGAAAGGAAAAGTAAGTAAGTAAGTAATATTTATGTGTATACCTCCTTTCACAGACCAGAGTCACAAAGCGGTTTACAATTGTGTTCATTAGTCTCTCACTCCACACAGAGATGGGAGCGGCATGAACAAATCTCTCTATTTTCCTGGACACTCTATGTTTAAATAACTTGTTTCTGTCTGTATTCATATATCTGATATTAATGTATTAATGTCCCTACTAGCTCTATTCTTGTATTCTTACTGTATTCTCATACCTAATATTTTATTTATTTATTTATTTGATGGGGAAAGTGTACATAATCAACATGTGAAATACTACAACATTTATAACCAAGGTTAATTTGCAATATCCGTCTCTAGGAGGGCATTTAACACAATTTAAAACACATTTTACTTTATAGTATTCACATTATACAAAAGCAGGTGTTCTCCAACTCATTAATGATCACACAACTGGTTTGTTTTGATAAATCACGTACATAAATATCTTCTACCTACTATCTGTATTGTTGTCCCTACATCTCACATAACATGGTAGTAGTAGAGTAGGTCAAAGCAAGAAATATTATTGTGTCTTCCCTTTATATACAAAAATGCAGGATCACCTCCTGCATTTCAGAGCAAAAATTTCAGAGGCTCAATTTCACTGAGAATAATCATGAAATACATGACTGAAACACATGGGTCCCGATACACTGCAAAAAGTGATGAAAAATAAGTCAAAACATTCTCAAATATGGCAAAAATTATTCCTGATTTGAGCACATTCTGACTGCCTTAAAACAACATTTGCCAATATAACTGATAACCGATCACTGATGCAATCCACCTGCTGGGATTTGGTTGGAAATGGTACAAATGTTGTGTAGTAGATTTGTCTACTTATGTTTTCTTGTATTTCAGCTGCAGGAAAAATGGAACAATAGGCAACAATCTGAAAAGTTTAGTCCTAACTCAGTGTCCCAGCAGAAGGTCAAATCCCTGTGCTCCTCAGAGTCCCAGCAGGAGGCCAGTCCCTGTGCTCCTCAGAGTCCCAGCAGAAGGTCCAGTCCCTGTGCTCCTCAGACTCCCAGCAGAAGGCCAGTCCCTGTTATGTTACAAGGACAATCAAAGAAACAGAGACTTGAATTCATGATGATACAGAAATTGCACAAAATCAACAAAAAACTACTTTTTGTAGATAAATGAGAGGAAAAGTATGACCCTTTATTGCTCAGTAGAAGAAAACCAAACGTACAAACTCAAAACCCGCTCAAAAAACGCCACAATCCGGACACCCCTTTTTCCTCTGTTTTTTATTCAGATGGGCCTTATTGCGTGTGACCTCTGTCTCCTCGCCGCGGCTGTCTCAGATAACATTTTGACATTCCGGTCTCTGTGCCGAGGCGCCGCAATCCCGGGGATCGACGGCGAATGGGGGGCCCAATGATAAGGCTTCACTCACAATTAGCAGGCAGCAGCAGGGAGGCGAGAGGGGAAATTGAACTGTCAGAGAGAGAAGAGGGGAGAGGTGCGCGGGGGGGGAGAGGGAGGCTGACCCCATCCGGCAAAATGGAGCCCGTCATAATTTGTTCATTTGGTGCCCATCAGACTCGGGGCTTCTCGTTCTAACGCCGCCAGCCTGACCTCCTCCGCCAACCGCCGCTCTCACCGTTCGCTCACGCAGCCGTCCTGGATTTCACCGTCGTCCTCGCTGGACCGGAAAGTGACTAATTACACGCTCGTTCTCGCCTCCGTGGAGATTCCGTCGTATTGTTCTTTGTTTGAGTGAATTTTAAAGCTGATATATTTAACAAAATCAAATTTTCAGACGCAAACATGTAGCTCCGCCCCTTCTGTCTCTAAAAGCTCTTGTCTCAGTCCTGTAATAGTGCGATGTCATTGCACCACTATGACATCACACAGCCATTTTAAGCTTATATCAAAACAAAAGTATTTCCCATAAATTAGTTTTGGTATATCCCCAAGTGAAATAGCATTCTTTACAATCTGTGTTTGCAGCCGCTAATTCTAAAATAAAAAAAACTCCTCCCCATGGTTGCAGTATAGCGACAGTACAGGCTAATAGCATTGTTTACCCTTCATACATCTACAGGAAAACTATATGCAATCAAACTCTTTTTGAGATCAAGATACTATGAACATGAAGTGTATTTCAGGCAGAATTATACGTCCATGTTTATACCGTACATTCCATTTTTTTGTTTATACTGTTTTTGGTGTATTGTGTGTTTTGTCCGTCTGTTTTTTGCATCATATGATTTATATTATCTAACTGCATTTAATTAACTGTTTACTCACCTGTGCCATTGCCTGAAATAAATGAATAAATGAAAATGAATGAAAATTAACTAGTTAACTAGTGTGTTGTGGTTTAAAAGTCAGGTACCCCAGCTTTAACATGAATGCTCAGATTACGATTTGACATATTTATCCCATGTCGACTATATTCTTTCTAAGTATAGACATGTTTTCTAATCTAGTGGTCTAATTTGTTCTCAATTTCAAGACTCTCTCTGCTGAGACAAACATGTATGACTAAAGAAACAACAAAGTGAGGTACCCCAGCTTTAATTATCACGTACTGTACTGTAAATCTACACTGGTGCTGCTCATTCTGTGATAAAGTAACTAGTACTTTTACACTGGATCCAAAGTGTGTGAGACTCTTCTTATGTTCATTGTTTTTGTAATGTTTCCACCACTTCTATCCTTCTCCTTTAAACAAAACGCAAATGTTCTATAACAATAAGATATTCAAGTTATTTTTGAATCCCCCTACATCACAACAACAGTCGCCTTCTCGGAGGACTTCGCAAAGTTGTCAATTCACCAACAACAGATCAAAGAATCAAACAGTTCAAAGGAAATGCATTAGTGACAAACACATAGGAGCCATTGGTCCATAGGGAGCGAGATGAACCTCCAGCATTGGCAAAGAACGATAAAAATAAAATAAAAAATTGTGGGAACAAAAAGGAGAAACTTCAAGAGGCCCATGGGGATGTACTATAGTAGTTTAATGACAATAAAACTTCAAAAAATTCATATTTACTGAGGGTCTGTCCCATCTCACTCCCTTTACACCATCCTGTCCTATAGAAAGACAGTTTTTTTTAATAGTATGTACAAGAACATCACACACTGACAATTAAGGCATTCAAAGTACATTATTTTTTATCAACCTTTTCATTTTTGCCTATTTTGCGTTTGTTTAATTGTTTATATTTTGCCAAACGTTTCAAACTAAATTCTTCCTGCGACTGCTACTAAATGCGTGCTGTTTTGTCAACTATTTTTGCCTTTTTGCGGAAAGCACTTTGTCTGATCCGCGGTAAACGAACGACATCATGGGACCAAACAAAAAAGGAAAAACGAAGGCTTTTAGCAGCTGCACATTTGAACGGTGAACGCGGCGTCGTTCTGTAAGAAAGACAAGCACCGACAACAGATGAATATTAACTCTTAGTGCTGGACTAATAGCAAGAGTAGGAAGTAATTAGTCTCCGTCCGTCTGATAATGTACGCTCTCAAATCTGTCATTTAAGGAGGAATTTCAGTTATTAATCTAAAGAAATGTGTTGTGTAGTTATTGGCATGACGGTATATGTATTTTTTTTTTGTTTATTTACATTTTTGATCCTCATGAGCTACGGAAATATATTCTGTTGAAAATTCTACTGGGATCTAAGCCGTCAATATGTTATTATTGTTTCTGAGTGGCGTTTGCATGTTCTCCCCGTGTCTGCGTAGGTTTCCTCCGGGTACTCCGGTTTTCCCTACCACTAAAAAGATGTGCAAGAGTTCAGGGTGAATGAATGAGTGTGTGTGAATGTGGGACAACGGATGGAAGAGGCTACAATCCAGAGTGATGTGTTCATTAACATGTGCTGTCCCAACCAAATAAACAATAAATACGTAGATAAACAAGTATGTATTACTCCTGTGACACCTTTCACAGCAGCACATATGAACTATTTATCTATTTCCATTATTGTAACAAATGAAAATAATGAAAAACAAAGGAGTCTAACCCTGAGATACTGATCGGTCTGACACAATAATTACTGCCAATCTATGTTCAATATTAGGACTGAAAAATAAAAACAGGAATGAATTAGTAAAATAAAAAGTTGTATTCCTCTAGTTACAATCTTGTTCTGTCAATGTCACTTGAAAGAATTCGCTCAAGAAGGGTTGAAACATTATTTGTATGGCACTAAAATAGATCTGGCTTATCACAAAACTACTTGCTTAAGAGAAAATTTAAAGCTTTTCCGATACGTGTCCACGGCACTTGTCTATTTTTGAATATTAAAGGTGCAGTAAACGATTTTGTTAGCTTAGCCGTAACCACTCCCCCCTCCCCTCGCCTCTCCACCAAACCAAACATCCAGCATTTTCTTTTCTTTGTCACAACAGGGAGAGTGGGCGGCAAACGTGAAATTAGCATTTTCTGGTCAGCCATTTTAGGTTTTAGAAAATCCGATAACTCCGGTGCGCACACTCGTGAGAAAGAGGAAGAGGGTGAAGTGGGTAAACGCATCCCATTGGTTCGTTGTTTTTATCGGTCCGCTCCAAAATATTTTTAATTAATTTTTGGAGACTATAAGCATCTGGTCAATTCCATCACCATTTGAAAACATATGATAACTTGACTACTTTTAGGGTTTCGGGATGTTTTCCCAATATCTAAAAAAAATGCGTCTGGAAAAAATCACAGACTGCATCTTTAACTATTCATATATATATGGTCTGTGGTCCCATACCCAGCCTGTGTGTAAATACATAGGTGTGTGGTTTTGATAAGTCAGCAGTGGAGTGGATGCGTGGCAGGCCGAGAGGATACAGGTGTTGTTATTGAGCTCTGAAGGTGACTGCTGCTCTCATCCATCACGCCGGCTTTCCTTCGGCCTGATCCCTAATGGAGCCCCTCAATCAGAGCGGCTCACTGTCACTAAATGAGGAGTCAGGCAACTGGTCGCTCAGCCAAGGTTGAGACTCATATAAAAAGGGACAAAGTGATAAAGACCAGCTTGTGTTCAGCCTGTGGATGAGTATTGAGTGGTCTCGGCCTCAGAGGTGCCTGAGGTGCGATGGGGCTTTAGTGCTTTGGGCAAAAATATCTATTGGTGATTATTTTGGCAAAACGTCGCGATTAAGTGAGTAAGTAGTAGTAAGAGTAGTAGTTTATTTTCTTCGGCCAATATGTACAATAGATCTCAGGTCACATGTTTTCAAAGATCGTATATACATTTTACAAACAGAAAAGAACTAAAATGTGTCTGTTAAGAATTTTTGTGCGAAACAATGCCCGACTGAAAGAGGTTTAGGCTGAAGTTGAGACGTATACTGTCTAACCCCTATAACAATGTGACAATATGTCCAAAGATGACTCATTATACAGTTTCTAACACTGCGTGAGTTGTATAGTCCTTTTATTTTCATTTTATTTCATCTTTTTATTGTTATTTTTATATTTATACATATATGCACACATGGTTTTTCATATTTGATTTTTGATTATTTAACTGTTTTACTATGGATTTGTTTTGTTTAGTATTTTATCGTGCAGCACTTTGGAAACTGTTTATGAAATGTGCTAATAAAGTGGATTGGATTGAATTGGTTTCTCTTACTCCAACAATGGCAGCATATAGCACAAAACTTAAACTTCTACAATCAAAATTATGCTCCACACGATCAAGATTTTAGATGACAGATTTACCGCTTTATACTTACTTGTTATTATGCTAAAGTCAGAGGTTTTATACTTAATTCTTGCTTCTTCATTATTCTAAAGTTGGAGATTTTAGACTAAAGCACTCAGGTCTGTGAAAGGCGCTATATAAATAAAGATTACTTACTTAGACTTGCTTCCTTTTTATGTTCAAGATAGAAGTTGTATACTTTATTCTTTATTACGCTAAAGTTGAAGATTCCCTTTTATTTCATGTTAGTGTAGAGGCTCAGTGGCCCTATGTCACTGAACCACTGGGTTGCAATGTTTGGTGGGATTTCAGACGCGTGTTTCCTGGTCCAAAAATGAGTCCAATACTAAAAAATATGCACAAAATTCCATTCTTTATTTCCATGTGATGCATAACACGGTCAAAAAACTGTTCCTCCTCACACATGCAACACCTGCTGCACTAATTACCTGCATTAAATCAAGCCCCGGTGATCCAAGATGGCGCCCTATTCAAATGAATGGCTCGTGCTCAGTAGCGCATGGGACTTCATGGAGACCGGGAGATTAGCTGAACTCGCCTATATTTGGGCATCGTCTGGTCCTCCCGGTTCTGCGCAGTGGATTAGCGCATGATGGGAGATATCTCCCATAATGCGTCGCGCCAAACGTGCGTGTGTGGCTTTCATGCACGCGCACAGAGGGGCCCGGCCGCGCTCTGACCAATCAGAGCTGCTGATCAGAGCAGCGGAAGAGCGAAGCCAGAGCGGGAAGGCAGGGAGCAGAGTTTGTGGCAGTAAAGTATGGATTTAAAGAAAACAGAAGGATTTAAGAAGAAAAAAAGTTCAGGATGACAAGGGACACTAAAATCCCCACAAAATGCGATCTTTATGAAAGCTGTAGGTTCTCTGTCAGCTGAGGTCGAGCTGTTTTAATTTACATTGAGTTCTATGGGACTTTTTTCTGGGTAGCCCACGTGAATTTAGTCTGCAGTACCACGGGCGCCCCCTGTGCCCATAGGTGGGACAGCTATAAGCTAGTAATACCCTATCCAGTTATTATTATAGATCCATGCCTTAAAT